CTACATATTCACACTCGTTTTACTATTAAAGTAATACCTCTGGTGCTATTGTTGACCCCATGCTAAAAACAGACTTCGTAGTCACTCTATTTTCAAGCGGCGCTGTGACTTGCTCCTCTTCATGCAGCATATTATCTTCAGGCTTTGAACACCTTGCAGTACAATCAACAGCAATTACTTCTGGAATTAGTTAAAGTACTATGATGTTCTTTTGGTATCTGAAATATGCTTCACTAACCACGATTCTTTTCATTGACGGTATATGAGCAGTCATCCAACAATGGACGTTCGTTAACATCTAGTTTTTCCAGCTCATCTACAGCATTCTTCAACCAATCGCTCAGCCTAAAAAAAAGCTGTACAAAGAAGTATTAGAAATCGAAATCAATTCATAAATATAGTTCGAAAGAAATCGAAGAATACCATGAAATGGAAGCAAATATAAAACAAAAACAAAAATTGCTTTAGTGATTTCATGGATACAGATCTATTGATAAATCGGAAGTTGAAACACACATTGGTAAGAAAAGGGTAAAGTATCCATATTAGTTTTAGTATGATTCATTTAAAATTGATGCAATTATACATTTTCACCAACCTATTATTACAACTGTTATTGAGCATTTGTTCATTCGATTCATCGATATCACTGTGAGGTTCAGATGACTCCTCGCTACTATCATTTTCATCCCCGACAGTTGAGGAATCATCATCCTCTTGCACTTCTTCCAGAGCCTACAATTATTTTAGTATTGTGGAAAACCTTTAACTCCAATGTATAAAAAAAAAAGAAGAAAAAAAACATAGAATTAAAACTCACTATTGCATAATAGTGAGTTTTTTTTTCAATAAAATTAAATATGACTGAATTTTTAATAGCAAGAATTTTTTAATAAGATTAAATATGATTGAAAAAGGACCTTTTCATAAACTTTTGACATGCGAGGAGTAAATCCGCTAGCACTCACTTCCACATCAAGATTATATTTCCTCGTCATAGCATCGAAGTTTGGATATAATTCGCTCTCATAATTAAATCTGAAATATATATGAATGCTTGGAGTTCGTTTCATAATTAGAAAACAAACAAGAAAAAAATATATAATGACTTAAACCAGTTTTTAAAGAACAAAAATATACCGTCTTCTAAAAAAGGTCCGAACGCAGTTCACATCCCTTTCGAAATAGAATTGCGCATTTGTATGATCCATACTGACCATTTGCGGTAAGTCGATTAATACAGGTTCCTCTTCCTGTAGATGATGTTTACCTTTACATATCAGACTTTCAAAAATACACAAAAATATTAATGGAAAGAGCAGAAATTCTCTTACTTCAGTTAACATAATATTGAATTCATTGAAATCACCATGTATAAGTCCATAACGCGCTAAGCGTACGATAATATTCATCAGTTTTTCATATAGTCCCTCTACCTGAAACCATAGCTAACACTGATCATAACATATGAATATCTGATAATTTACATAGAATTAGGTCAAAAAAAGATATCGTTTCTTGAAGTTGTGGTATTCCAATATGGTCGAAATGGATGCATAATGAAACTGTTTTTGATATTTAATGTTTTTGTTATTAATGAATTCAAAATACTAAATGTTACACATTTTATTCACTAGATAATATTACAAAAAAAAAATAAATAAGCGTGATTCCAACCATTTATTTATACTACTATTTCATCTGTTAGCTAAACTGAAATTTCTTTTTTAAGTCTTAAACACAGTAAAAGTTTTGTTGAGGAAACAGAAGGGAAACCATACATCGTTTAGTTTTTGCACATGGCAAAGCGTTGTACCATTAATTAAATCCATGACAACCACATGACGACACCTATCGATTGGTCTTGGAAGTGGGAAATTGTGGTCGTGTAATGCTGAAATAAATGAAGAAAGTATATAACTGATCTTAAAAAAACGAATGGTAAAATATGATTGCACTACTTCAAAACAAAACAAAATTCAATTTCTGCTAAATAGACAAAAGCGAATAAATACCTTTCAGGAAAGCAAACTCTTTTGCTGCAGCTAGACTAGAAAGATAAAGCCAAGAACATGACTTCCGCTTTTTGCAATAATCTCTTTTTTCCTTTAACTTTCGAAATGATATTCTTCCCAATCTATGGAATTTCAATACTAAGTCCTGAAAAATTCCTTAAGAAGGAAAAATAAAAAAATAAATGAAACTGACTAGCACGATTCATATAACATGGAAAATTGATAAAAAAATTAACTTAGGCTGCTGTAAGATGAAAAAATAAACCATACTATTGACTCTAAGAGACACCAGTAAAACTTATTGATAAACGGAAAAGACGGAAAAGACTTTAAAACAAATCTTTAAAAAAATAACATTAAGTTTTGGATCGCCACCAACAAAAACATCAGACTCTTTGCCAACACCTATCTGATTGCCAACTGCTCCAACTACTTCCCGAGAACAGAGATCTTTCAGAGCAAGAATATCGTAACCAAGTGTCGTTAAGCGATAACCATCATCTAAACAATCCTACATATTTCCTCACAACATAATAGCTGTAATTCCAAACAAGTAAGATACAATATTATTTGTGTGTGGCAGAATTCTCAAAATTATCTCATTATTTTAAACTGAAAAATAAAACACTATTTAAAATAAATAGTTCTGCTTTTATCTCATATATTACAGTCAACTTACAGCGTTTTCCACGTTCATGTGCAACAGTGCCATGCTTTGCTAAATTAATAAGACTACATGAGACAGCACCACGATGTATTTTAGAAATTGATGCAATCAATTCCAAAGGTACCAATTCATGATTCCTCATTCCCATTTCCAACTATAAAAATTTGCTATGTATCATTAAACAAATTAATATATCAAACTAATTCTTTCAATAATTTGTTGTAATCAATGAAAATTTTGAAAAAAAAAAAAAAACTAACGAATATCAAAACTATAACGAGACAACATATAGTTACAATTAAAAAATAATATACAATTATATATAATTACATAATTAGTATAGCCAAAAACAAACCGCAAAAAGAACACGGAAATGTTCTTGTTCCATGTAACGAATCACAGCTACATTCATACGTCCCATAACTGAAACAGAAATATTTCCAAAAGTTTGATGAAATTAAAATATAACACAACGATGACATATATACATTACAAACATTGTTCATAGCACATCACAAGAACAACAGTATGCATCAAAAGAAGCAAATATCATAAGAAACACATAAATCATCTTTCTCCCATGCTCAACTACTTTCGTTGGGTAACCAAACATTATATGCATGTGACCTTTAACCTAGCGTTGAGAATTAACGAATCGTATCTTGCAGCACTTCTATTTAAAATTGAATCTTCCATTTACTAAAAGCCAATCCAAATAAATTAAATTATTTTAAGATCATTTTAATAATGAATAGATGAATTGCTATCAGTGTTATCCAATTTTTCAGCAGAAAAAGGAAGAGAAAACCGGCAAACTGAAAATATGTTATCATTTCGCTGATATTTAGCAAAATAAAAAAAGTTAACAAAAAAAAAGTCTATTTGAATAGTATTATTTGTTGCGAATTAAAATAAACAACAATAATTCGTTTCTGGACGATGTGTTGATAATTTACCAGTTTAGTTGCTAGTAGCTCAAATTTTTAGATGACCTAAACGGATTTGGAAGTGATAATATCTGATGTAAAATAACATTATTTCAGGAAAAGAGCAACCGGACTCTAACCTGTACTCACGTGAGTTACGCTTACTAATACTTATAAAATTAGTTTTGTTGACACTAACGGGAAATAAACACGCCATTTATGTGGTATATGTACAGAAAAAAAAATACATTAAATTTAAATCAAAAAAAGTTAATGATAAATAATTATTAATAAGTAATAAATAAGTATAATAAGTAACAAATTCATTAAGACGCAAGAGACATATACTGCAATAAAAGTCAAACGAAGAGCTATGCCTAAATTATTATTGAAATTAACAATAAGAAATTATAACAAAGTATAGAAACTTTTTTTTCCAAAAGTTCCAAAGTTAAAATATCAAAATGTGGAAGAAATGATGTAAAAACAAATGAAACTTTTCATGTGAAACTAATTTGATAGATTTGGCAATATTGACGGAATTAAAAAACGAATTGGAGATGATAGAATTAACAGAAGTACGAAACAATTATAAAAATCTGTACTGAACTGGAACCAATTGTGTATATATACGCATTACTTTTGAAAACATTAAACAGAAACCAGAATCTCAGTTTAAATTTTTTGTAGAAAGTGCAAATAACACTAACAGTATTACTGACCTTTTAATCATTTCTTTGTTTATCTGTTATTGTCTCTTTTTGTTTTTCCTTACTTTCCCCTACTTTATTTCTTTTTTCATCAATAAGTTCAAACATATTTATCTAACGATTTCAAAATTTTTTTACCTGGACATGCTGAAACTAATGTTAAAGATGTGTTTATTCACAACAACAGTGCTTGTCAAATTGAATAAAGAACAAAAAAAAAAAAAAAAAAAAATTACAATCATTCTCTATTAAAAAGATACTTCCTTGTAACTCTATTATCAGAGCATAAAGATGAGAAGCCAGCAAACAAACAAATAACTTATTGCCGTTGTTCATTCACTACATACACTACATCTACGGAGAAAGCAAAAATTTTCTGTAAAATTTAAAAAAAAAAAAGAAAAGCAATGTTCATCTTTGTAACATTGCCATAAAAAATACCTATAACTAATTGTTTTTACTATCTCTCTTTCCTCTTCACATGATTTGGAATAAATCAGCCAGTTTTAAGGGTAATCAATAAAGAATTCAGAAAACATGTGAGTCTTCATTTTTTGCAGTAATATTGATGAACATAATGAAATAGGGTAGAGAGTGATATCTGTCATAAAACAAAAAAGCATCTAAATTCATAAACCAGTGAACAACAATGGAATATATCCTGCAATTCATTACAAGTGGATTATACTTCAGTTTTCCGCTTCTTTGCAGCCGGCCTTTCAAAGTTATTTTTCATACCACCGGCGTGTTTTACAAGGAATTTACTATTTAATGCCGTCGTAGCAGCCCAAGCACCCTGATGATCAGTTGTATCCTCTGCTGTCAAATGTGTCCATTTCGAACGGCTAGCTTTTCCAAAGTTTTTGACCTTAACAATAATCATTTATAATTTCTTGAACTGAATTGTTTATCCCCCAAAGTTCGATTTATCTAACAATTCTGTAACTTCTTCCTTACTTCCACCATGGAAACATCTAAACTAAATATTTAACGACAGCATCTCTCATAGTTATATGGTACCAACAAAGCAGTCCTTTGTTCCTTGTGAGTTTATTTCCGCGAATTTTATAGTACCATTTAATATTCTGCATACTTTTTAAACTTGTTACTGTACTTCCGCCATGCAAATATCTATTCTGGTACCAATAAGCAGTCCTTTTTGTTCATTTTATTTTGTACTGCACCATCAGAAAGATCGCGAAATCAGTGAAATTGGTTTTTCATTAAAAATTCCTTTCGTGGAACAATCTGACCTAATTTAACTGCAAAATGAAGTATATCTCTACCTGCATAACCTTCGGGAGCACAGATTTATCAAACTGGTCATCAAGCGTCGCTTCAGCAAAATCTCGTTTGAATATATCATCTTCAACATCCAAATAGAATGCTCCACGATGAAAATACTTTTGAAGGAATTTGTACTTGCCCTTCTTTTGCTAAAATTTTTTTTTTTTTTTTTTGTTATTTCGAAAAGAGAAGTAATAAACCATTTGAAAGCAGATCGCTTCATGCAGTTAGTTCTCCGATATAAGTAGAAGACACAAGATATATTGGGAAAATATGTTTGCACAGAAAAACTAATATGACATTTAATATAAATAAAACAACTCTTTTTAAAAGAAGGGAATTATAAGAACAAATGCAAATGCTACGTAAAACTGAACAGATTTCCAATGAAAGAGAATTACATAAATAGAAATCGCTAACCATGTTCGTAATAATTTTTGGATTCATTCTTAAATACTGCTTGCGCTCTTCCTCTGTCATGCCATGTATTCGATCTAATTCTGCTTTTTCTCTTGCAATTCTACAAAACCTAGCAGTAAGCACACTCCAGCAAATAATAAGAGACAGAGAATCCTAACCGACCCACTTTCACCAAATAACTAAATTCATCATAAAAATATTCTCCTTCTCTATTCAAACATGAAACAAAACGAAAATCTGACAACTTCCATGATTTTTTTCTGTCAGCCATAAAAGCATCATGATGATAAGCATTCTACAAGTGCCTAATATAAGCCGATTTTCATCATCAGTTACAACTGATGCATTTACAGTAATCGTTTTTAAAGCTATGAACCTAGAGAACTGGCAAAACTTTTATTGAGAGTTTTCGCTCACTATAACTGTCAAGTAAATCACTACTTACGCGTCACGCTCTTCTTTATTTCTTTTTAATCGCTTCATTTCACGGAGTTTCCAACTTTCATATGCAATTTCTTCATTTTCATCATCAGTTACAACTGATGTCAAATCGATGTTATCCTCCTTTTTTCTTTTTTCCATATCTGCTTCATGTCGCAAAATCTCTTCCAATAACTAAAAAATTTTACATAAATTCCGAAAGAAAGTTTTGGAAACAACTTTTACCTCATATTTATTTGGTCTTATCTCATGTACTTTCACAATATGCATATATTCATTTTCAAAAGAATGTTATGTCTTTCACCAAACGGTTGAAATAACAAAACAAAGCAGTCTTATCAGAAAATACAGGAAGTTTAGACTAACTTTGTTAATCACATAACTAGTCAAAACTATTCAGCAATTTTTTGCAAGATTTGCAAGATGAAAGGTAAAGAAATCAAGCAATAAAAAAGAGCTGAAATGCCAACACATTTTATAGTGGTGTTACCTTTGCAGACTCTTTCTTCCGCCTTTCCTTCCTTTCTTGCTCCTCAATTTGCTGCCTCTTCGCACGTTCTTTCTCCTTCTCTTCTTCTATTTTTGTTATTCGTTTACTCCTTAATATAGTGATTTGAAAATCATATTTTCAATTAAAAGTTAAAAATGAGAACGACGAGAAAGCACATATACTTTTCTACGAAGACAGGTTTCATTCTGGGGACTGTTTCATCTTCGCTTTCCTCGCTTTCTTCTTCACTTGATTCTTCTTCACTATCCTCATCTTCTTCTGCTTCTTCCTGTTTTCCTATGAGCTCCTCTTCTTCCTTGATCAAAGCCCGTGCTCTCAGTAAAGCTCGTCGTCTTTCAAATTCCTCCTAGAGTCACCTTTTTTTAATTAAAAGATTATAAGAAGAAAAAATTTATTGCTGCGAGACTGTGTATTACCATGCAAAAATCAAAACGAGGAACTGGCAAACTTACAATGAACCTTTATTATCAGTAGAAGGATCATAACTTACCTCATCATCCTCGTCAGGTTCATCCTCCTCAACAGGGGCTTCTTGCATTTCCAGTTGCATTCGTCGTAATCTTGCTCTTGTCCTTCTTTTTTCTGCCTCTTCATCATCATCTGAACTCGATGCTGCTTCTACTTCTTCCTTCGTCACATCTGCTGCGCGTCTCCTAAACGAGTAATTAATCCCTTTCTTCAGTGAAACATGTTTAGGTCTCTTGAAGAACTAAGAACTAATAGTTTGCAGACCACCATGGTGCAAATTTTAAATTCATCATGCATTCGTATGGATGAGTTTCTTTCAAATTTTCAAAAAAAAAAAAAAAAAAAAGGATGATGGAGATTTTCAAAAAGAGAATAAGTTAAGTTAATTACAGACATATATTTCATTTAGCTGCTGAAGTTACAGTTACTCATGACCAGTACCTTTCGAGCTCCTTCCAAATATAGCAGAATATGAGTCGCTACGCTTCTATCCACTTCCATAATTCGATAAAAGAAAATTTAAAAAAACATAATAAAAAGCTCTTTGAAAAGTGACTAGCAAACATAAGCTTACGTTTCTCTTTGAAACGCATCATTGAGAGGTTTTTCTTGTTCTTCATCACTCTGTTCTCCACCAGATGAATCATTTTTCCCTAAGGCATATGTTGGTCTGAAATATGTATTTACAAACCCCAATAATTTACCACAATAATCAATTCAGTTTCGAGCAAACAGTGGTAAAGGCAATAATTTTGACCATTATCGCTTCAAATATAATAATTTAAAATTCCAACAATAATAGCTTTCTGAGAAAAAAGATTGAAAAATTCTAAATAACGAGAAACGCACACTTTCCCAGCCATATATCGAACCACCTTCACTTTCTGCATTGTTATTTCACCTTTTTCATTCCTTACAGCAATAGCACCAGCAGTAGGTAAGGCTTTTGGCCCCGTACTACGGCTCTCCAAATCTCGCTCAAACTTCGGAGTGAATTCTCCCATATCTGAAGTATAATGAATGCATCCGGCTAGTGAAACTCAAAATTTGATACGAGTTTCTTGAAGGACAATATCCAACTATAAGCCGGTTAAAAACCACTATAAATGAGACCACCTATCAAGAAAACTAAAAATTTTACTTCATTTTCAACTAAAAACTTTATAGCAAACACAATTACAAATTTAAGAGATAACAATGAGTCGTCCACAAAATGATCTATTCAGAATATTTGCCAGTGATTAGAAACACATCTCAAGCAAACTAGAACAAAGATAAAATGTAAAGTTTAACGATTTTCAGTATTTTTTTCATTTCTTCCAAATTTGAACAGAATTAAAAGTTGAGTGGAGCATCTCAATATCAACTGCAATAGTGTTTAATCATATCTTTAAAAGAAAAAGCAGAAAAAACCTCATAAGATATTACATAAGAAAACAATATACCAATAATAAATTTGGCATTGATGTTACAAATGTTAAAAACAATAAATATAACCAGTATCAAATGACATTAGTCACATTTAAATGAATGATAATGGAGAAAAAGGTCATGGAAGAGGCCAGACTTCTTCTGTTAATTTTCAGATTTTCAAAGAACGTCAGGGATTGCAAGTTTATAAGAAGCTTTGAATCCAAAACTCTTATTCAAGAAATTTGATTTTTTTATATTGTTTAATTTATTTCTGCAGTTGTTTTTGAAAAGAGATATCGTATCAACATTTGAATAACCCAAATTCTTAAATCTTTTTGAGGATTGGAATCCTCAGAAAATCTCAGGACAGTATTTTGAAAGATTCCTTTTCTCCCATTCACTCTTCACTGGAGGAAAAAATATTTATCAAATCTATTATATGAAGAGTACGAAAATTCTGTCAATAAAGAGATTTTCCGACTTCTAAAAAAAAATTTCAAGTATAGAAAATTTCTGATTTTTTCATCGTTAAGATACAATTATAAACTCTTACAGCTAATGTGATCTGTAATGTGCTGCATTTATGGTTTTAATTTGACTCAAGATCTGAAAAAAAACCTTGTATACCGCCAAATTTTATGTTTGAACTATTGATCAAGTTTGAATACCAATAAACAAAAAATATTGTATTAATTTATATCTCTTAATGTCCCAATCATGAAAGTCAGAATGGAAATAAAGTTGAGAAAAAATCGCGATACAGCGAAAAAGAATTATAAATTTTCCATGCGACAGAGTGATTCAATATGACTCAAAACAATATCGTTGTTATCAGTTTTCACCACTGCCTCAGTATTGTCCACGGACACCAAAGTACCGCTGATGCCAATATCATCGCCGTATATTATTTTTGCCTGAATACAACCAGTGTAGAAAGCTAATTTTCAGTAAAATGGTAGTAAACATTCTAAGCTTAAGAAGGTCAGTCAGCTGTTTATATCTATCGTTTATATAAGTTGTTTATCTGATATTATCGTCCTTTAAATTCATGCAAGGAAATAAGAGTAAATTAAGTGTAAACAAGGAAATTGCCAACTGACTTAACATGCTACTAATTTCCTTGACTTTTTGGTTGCATTGAAACCAGGAAAACAAACATAATTTCTAGATCAGTTACAGTTATTGAACAGAAGAAACGTACCCTATCACCCTGTTGAGGTTTGACCGGAAGAATTTGGTCGAAATATGCCATTACCTCACGATCTAACTCGAACGAATAAATACTGCAACGACCCTCCTGAAAACCCACAAATCCATTAATTTATACCATGCATAGTAAGAAAAAGCAAAAACAACGGCTACTTACCACATTATCGACATTTTTAACAGTTCCTTCTTGACCTTTGAGCTCATCATCATCATAGTTGTCACGGAACCGTACCATCATGTCAACTGATACCCATTCGCCTGAGTTCAATACGTGTTGCGCTATAAATTGCAGGAAATATGGAAATTTTCTCAAAGCGATCAAAAACTTTGTTTTGCATTATTTTTCAAAAATAAAAACACTTACGTATAGCACCAGAGCCTGTTGCAGCGCCGCTTGTATTTGAACCTAAAATGATAATAGTAATTAGAAATTGTTAATAAATTTTAATATATTTGATTCTCTTCAAGACATTTTGAGTCTCATGCAAAGTGTAGAAAAGGACATGTAAACTTACGACCATCCGAAAAAGGACTCGGAGCAGCGTAATCTGCATACATTCCGCCAGGTGTCATTGGTGCATATGACTGACCTGCAACTATGCGTACATAAGTACTCACACTACTGTTTACTTTCAACAATTCACCAAAATCCATGGCAAAACTAATTTTGAAATAGTAAATCTTACCAAGAGAAGAATCCGGATTGTAGCCAGGCGTATGAGGATTCATTGCACCCGGAGTAGGTACATTGAAAGGTGATGAGGGTTCATCATAATGAATATCATCACTGATTGGATGCGCTGGTGTTGTTGACGGATCCCAAGCCGAAGAATGAACTGGAGTACGTCCACCATCATATGACGGCGTCAAAGCACCGTAATGTGGTGTACGTCCTAAATGAAAGATAATTTATTAAGATCATTCATCACTATTCACTATTTTTGGAAACTTAGCTCAGAATCTCTTCTCTTAAGCGCAATAGAGCTCTTGTCTTGTCTTCTTGTTACAAACTCTTTTGTGAGTTATTATAAATTAAAATATTGACAAAATTAAATGCAAGCATTCCGATTTGTATTGTGCAAAATGGTTAAGTAATTAATATATGCGAAAAAATCTGAAAGCGATAGCGCGTTAAAATATCTTTGTTTGCTAAACGAATAATAGATGTTATTCTCACCTCCTTCATGCATAGGTGTTTGAGAACCATACATTGGTGTTTGAGCTCCATACATTGGAGTTTTACCACCACCGCTGTACATTGGTGTTCGACTGTCACCCGATGGCGTTCTACCAAGAAATCCACCAATGAACGTGCCACCAGGAGTGCCATCACCAACGATCATTATTCGTGATCGGTCAACACTGATTGTCTTAATAACATTTAAAAGTTATTAAAGCTTTCACGCAATATTTGACATGAAATTTCAACTAATTATCCTGATAACTATAACTATGGTACTTCTGGTCTTCACGAACATACCAATAAGTAACTCTATCAACAAAGTAACCGAAAACCAGAATGAAATAAACAACCTTGCAATTAGAATGAAGTTCAACACGAGCAGTTTGCTCAGTAGCATCCTTAACAATACCGAAATATCCTTTCAAAGGTCCTTGTGTTATCCTCACACTTTTTCCAATTATCTGATTATCTCGCCGCACTCGATTTTGTGAGTCAAAACCACCAGTACTTGGTACACCCACAGAGCTACCTTCTAAAAATTACAATTAGTCTCCGTATAGCACAATCCACAATTAAATTCTCATAAACAATCTTACGTCACGATTATTAAAAAAGAATAAAACACAATAAAAACTGGTCATAATGTAGAAATTGTTCACAAAAATACTGAGATCACGAGAATACGGACTGAGAACACGGAAGAAACTACGGAAGAAGAAATTAGTGTTACCAGCAGTAACACAAAACTTGCCATGCTGTGAAGGAGTTGCGCCGCCACGAATACTCCTGCCACTTGACATGTTACCAGGTCGAGGTGTCTGTCCTCCTAGCTCAACATGTCGAGGACTTGAGAACGGATCAGGAGTAGCCAATCCTTTCACAATGAAATCGCCAACTGTTAATTAAGTGTAAATTAAAAGACGTTTCTAACAGTTAAAAATAAATGAAGTAGTGTTAAACTCATTAACGAAAAATAAGAAAAACTGAACTGAACAGACATATACCTTCGGTTAGAAGCAAATATTTTACATACTGACCTCTGAACAAACTAAAAGCAAATGTTCAATCAAGGAAACAATCCATCAACACGAATAGTTAAAGTATAGATCCATCAAGATTTTCCGCAAAGACATTCAAAAATAAACCATTTTCTAGCTTACTTTTCGTATTTGCCTTTGAACCAACCAAAAGCAAATGTCTCGGCTTGCAAACGAACAAGCCACCATTTTCCATATGTTTTCTGGACATCACGAATGCATATGAACGATATATATGCTTAATTTCGCCCTGTTTCTCATCTTCTGCATCACCACGGCTCTAAAAAAATGATTAATATCTCTGCAATTTACTAATACACATCTAATTTGATAAAGCTAAATCTAAGGTGTACAGTACCTCATCCATAATTTCATGTTTCATGCAAAAAACAATTAGAGAAAAGGTATCATCAATAAATCCGAATAACTATAATTCCTAATCTAGAAAGCAAGTTGATTTACGGAGCAAAATGGATTCATCAACTCCTACTAAAGCAAACAAGAAAAAACACATCTTAGAGAAAACTCGTTAGCTTATTTCTATGCATTGCACTGCAAACGATTTGTGAAAAGCAGATAAATATTATAATGAATAGCTAAGCTCCGAATAAAACTTACTGCATAAGGTCCATCTACAACTTTAACTGTATCTTTCACTTGAATGCTGTTCTGTTGACTGTCAAGTGCCTGTGCAAAGCGCGTATCTTTTTTGCCGTGAATTGCTTGCGGTTTTACTCGTACAACCTGGAATTCAGACAGATGTATAATAAAAACCTGTATAAAAATGCAGATTGTATGTGAAAAACAAATGAGGCGTGTTACCTTTCCATGCATATTCAAAACTTCCAAATATTCTCTCTCTAAGCGAACAATAACACCAGCTGTCTGCTGATCCAGCATTACAAGATCCTGATACTGGAACTGTCCAAGCGAATCCACACCTGTGGTCACATCAGCACAAAGTTGGACATCACGTGGTAATACTTTCAACTGAAAAAAATATAACTAACAATTAAAGATAACATTTGATTACAAAGAATTTGAACTGTTTAAATACCAAATTTACTACGTTCTCCTTAGAATAAAACCTAATCACAAAATAAAGTATATATATGAGAATTTTTGATTGTGAGTTCTACTTAAAAATACATTCCAATTAAGA